GGCTGGCTGCCATTGGCGGGACTCAGTCAGGTGTCCTAATGCTTCAGTTAGGGGAGGAAACGCTGGTTAATCTGCCCATCGCGTGCCACTGGCCATGGCCTGGCCTCTTTGTGTCTGGCACCCCTCTGATCAGTCCCTCCACCCCTTCATCTGTCTTTCCCCCATATCTTCCAACCCAGTTTCTCTACCAGAAGACGGTATCATCCTTTCTTAAAGATTTACCCCTCTGTCTTTCAAGATGAGACCACATTCTCTATAAAATACAGTTGGTGCACTTGCCCGCCATCCTCTCTGATGAATGAGACCTTTTTGTTGTTGGGATCTGTCGCTACACTTTAAAAAAACAAAAAATCACACAAAACTGCTGACTCATCTTAGGCCTCTGGTATACCTGTGTATGAACCTTACAGGATAATTTATTATATAGTTCTTATTATAACTTCTTATATTTCTCATCTGGAGTAATGTGAATAATCATGCTTTTCAGTGCATGCCATGAGTTAAGAGCCTTCCTGCCATTATTACATTGTACATATTTCTCTTGAAAATGCAGCTGAATCATGCTCACTGACCTCATTCCCTTATTTTAATCCAATTTCTTGTGCATAATTGCAAAATAATATGAGATAATTACATCAAAATTACTTCTAAATGACTACATAAAGTGGTCTGTGACAGACAGATTAATACATCAATACAGGCCTGCTGCATGAATGAATGGGAGTCCACAAGTATAAGTGATTACTTTCTGTTGTGGTTTTATCCTCTTTTCTTATTTCAGATTTTCATATTTGCTCTTCCCTGTGTGAGCCCAGGGGTTTTCACCTGTCTCGTAATACTGAATGCAGCATCCCCCCTTCTTTGCTCCTGGAAGGTGCACTGCTCTGATTAGGATGAATGATGCTTAGATGCGGTTTGCTGGAGGTTGATATGATGTGATTGCGTAACCAGAGAGAAGTCGTTACCATTCGACCTCTCCTGACCTCGTTTTGATTGACCCTTTGGGTTGGTCACTGCTTCCGAGCAAAAGGCAGGAGTATAAGGTCAGAGTTCAAAGTATCATCAGCTGTGCTGTCATGGAAACAGCAGCATTTGCCCTTCTGATGGTCAGTTTGAATTCAAGGACAATGGTTTGTTTAAAACTGAGTTTTGTTTTCAAAAGTGCATGGTTTATGTAACAAGAAATAATCTTAAGACATTAACTCTGTAGACTGAAAATGTTGAAAAGCAGATGTACGTCATTGTTCCTAGTGGTGCTTTCTGGGTTGTTTTGAGGATAATGTGGCTGTAAATCATTCTGAACTCCTTTTAACTGCCTTTTTCTCTGTTTTACTTGGTTGTTGGATTTCCATTATTTGTGCAGAAAGGCATAGATTCCCCTTGTCAGTGTTGTGACCAAAGCTCTGAGTCCGCCATTGTGGTCAATCGAAACACACCCGTGGTTTGTTTTTCCACTTCCTGTTTGTGACCAGTGTGCAGGGTTTCCTTGCAATCAGTGCTGCAGCAGGGGGGGGAAATCAATATTTTGAATGTAATGTGTGGCCAATGGAATAAGAGAATGATTTATGTAGGGATGGGTACTCCCTGAATCAGATGGGACTTGTGTGGCCGGATGAATGAAGGAAAGGAGGGGTGCTGGCACAGCGACCCAGAAAAAGAACTATAAAAGGTTAAAAAAAAAAGAAGTGTGTTTTGCTGCTCTTGATCGTGGCGCCGCTCCTCTTTTTTTGCTGTCCCTCTTCTCTCTTTTCACCTCTCCAACATGCAGTGCTCTCTGACTGTCCCGCCTAATCCTAGCACCGTAGTATTATGAGACTAAAAACCAACAGGATACGCACACACACATGCCATACACACCAGGAGTTTAGCAGGTTGTAGACCACCAGCCAGAAACAGCATATGTCCCTCTCCCCTCCAGATTAACGAGAGCATGCATGTTAGTATTACGATACAGTGAGAAAGGAGGGGATAGGGGCAAGGAGTAGAGAGGGGTGGGAGATGAAAGGTAGTGGGAGAGTGTAGGAGCCTGGCAGACAGACCAAGACTCAGAGGGAAACACGAGGTGAGAAGCGCGAGAACAAGTGTGCGAGGGAAGGAGGGAGAGAGCAAGTCTTGGAAAGAGATGGAAAGATGGAAGTGTGGAGGCGGGAAAGAGTGAGAGATGCGAGGACATAACAACCATAGAGAAATGTGTGTGTATGTGTTTGCTTTATTGCGGTGGCCCCACCTACCCCTCCATCCTGTTAAGGAGGCACAGTCCGAAGGAGGAGGGGTAGGATGGTAGGATCCCCTCCCTCAGTCACCAACACACACATACTCTCTCTCTGGCTCATACACACACTCTGCTCCGTGAGGGAGCAGTCGCTGAAGAGCTCTGGATAGACATGCGAGGTTCTGCAGGTGTCCCACCCTTCTCTCCTGACATGGATGCTATAGGAGGTACTGTTTGATTATTTTTCTTTTCCCTTTCTGCCTTGTGAGCAAATTCTTTTAAAATTTTCTTTGGGTTTCCTCTTTCTCCCTCTCCATTTGAAGATTTCCCCCTCTTCATGTTTCAGAGTAATCCGTGAGCCTCTGCTGTTTGTGTGAGATTGCATGTGCGTTTGCATGAGGCTGAATGTGTGCTTGTAGGTAGGGTTGTTTACAAGCGCCACTGTAGCCGCAGGTCTGACAAGTTTAGCAGAGTGAATTCTCTCCATGTGTTTGAGCTCAATTTTATTTTATTATCCTGTAATGCGTTCTTCAAAACAAATTTTATAGGGGTCATGGCTTTGGCTGCTTGTTGCATTATTTATTTTTGCATTTTATTATTTTTATTGGCACTCAACTCTTAAGGGTGGAGGTAGACAAAGCGCATTATGTATGCCCTGTGTACACCCTCTATATGCGTATTCATTATGTTTAAGTACAGGCTTTCAGTCAAATCAAGTCTAGTAGATATACTTGTCTTTAAAGCGATGGGATTTTTTTTTCTTTTTTTTTCTTAATTTTTTTTCATTTTTTCCCATTTTTTTGGGGGGGTTGTGATATTGATCGCAGAGACTGCCAAAGAGTTGGAGATAAACACGGTGAATTTGGAGGATTTTCTTTAGTTAGCTAATGGTTTTGAGATTGCACAGCATTCATTTTGAAGTATCCTAATTAAGGACAACAGTTTCAGATAGGCGATGCTGCATATTGGTTTGATTCATCATAAAAAGTTTAAGTGTAGTATAAAGACATATTGGTTAAAATCCAAATAAATCTTTTACCAATAAGTTAACTGCTTCACTCTACAAAAGCTCATTTAGATGCTTTTTCTTAGAGAGAAATAACAGTAATGGGTATTAAACAGCTAACAATCCTTGTGTAGAGGGTGTGTATGAGAGGGAGAGCACATGTCTTGCATGTAGCGCGGTTTACTGGCAAACATCCAATACGCCCCTCCTCGGTTCAGGCTGGAGATCAAGCTACATTTAATTATTGCATTCATATTATACACTAATTAAATGTTCACATGGACAATTTCTTTGTTTTTAACAGAATCTTGAATCCTAAATTTACACATAATCAAATACTGAGTTTTCGATTAAATTAGATACGATAAAAGTACTCATGTTCTTTCACTGAGGTTTATTTAAGTTGAGAATTAATGAACTGAACACATTTTGCTCACTTCTGTTGCTTTTCTGCACACAGTTTTGGCCGCACCTTCAGTGAATGACCATACAGTTTTTTTTTAACAGAGCAGCCATACTGATATGTACTTTCAGTGGTTTCCAAAATTTGTCCAGGTGAGGTCATTATCTCGGTTTGCATATCAAATTGGCGACCATTTGTTCAAACAGACTTGACAAATAACCTCCATATACGTCTTACAAATGTGTTCCTTCCACATATCTCCCCCTCATCCCTTTCTTCTGCTCATCTTTAGGTTAAAGCAGCATTTGCTTCCCCCCTTCTTTTAAGGTTTGTATTGACCTGTTAATAGTATTATCCACAGAGCGTGTGGCAGGTCCAGGGTCACATCCCTGTAGGGTTTGGATGGTCAGCCCTCTGGCCGCAGTTTGGAGACAGAGTGGCCAATAGGACCCAAGCTGTGGTCATCGTTCAATCTAGCCCTTTTCAAAGAAGAGGTCACATGAGTCAAAGGGTAATAAGTTTAACCCCTCAAGGGGTAAGAAGTCAGAGGTCACAAACAAGGCTATAGGGAGAAGGTTTGCATCATCAATCAGCGGCACTCCTGGTTATATCTGTGCATATCGATGACATGCTCGTTGCTGCCAATCTCATCTGCATGGCTTGCTAAGCACAAAGGGCAGCCGTTATGATAGGATTAACGTGAATGAAAAAAACACCACTATTGTGAAGAGTTTGGGTCTTGTCCGTTTTTTTTAGTTCTGTTCTAGTTTACACAATATTGTCCTCATTAAGCTCCGAGGTTTGTTTGTTTTGTTTTTTTTAAACAGAATATAGTGATTGTTTAGAATTGCCCTTTACCTTTAGAAATAATAGCACTGCTTGATTAGTTTACCCCAAACATGCCCGTAAAGAAGAAAATATATTTTCTTTTCTGGGATCAGGTGCTGTGATATGATGTTGTTGTTGTTGTTGTTGTTGTTGTTGTTGTTAATATCTTTAAGGTTTATTTGTCCCTAAAGTCACAATATTGCAATAGATTATGCTTTTCTTAATATTCACAAATTTAAACCACTAATACACCAGTTTAAGCAAAATATGACTGGTTATGTCCCTTTGAATATTTTCATCTGTTTTTCTTGTTGGGGAACGAAAGTATGATCGGACGCTTTCATGTGAATGATCATAGGTTTATTTGTAGGGGTGTGGCTTTTTCTGTGCGTTTCCACAGTTTCTCTGTCAGTGTGCGTAATACGCAGTGTGAACAGCCTCACTCCCCACAAGAGGATGTTGTGTGTCAAAATAATGTCCCTACGTGTTACTGTGGCAGCTTCTTAAATTTTGCTGTAGATGAGCACGCATATCCCTCCTTGTATATCTGAAATGGTGCTGTGCTGATGTTTCAGCATCTCCCAGAGGTCTCTTCTCCCTGGCTGATGTTAGCGATGTGTCAGCATTAAGCTAGGCCTGCCTGCTAGGCTGCTGGGGCCGTGGTGGCGACCAGCCCAGCCTGGCCAAAAGCCAGACCGAACATGTCTTGGCACCAGACAACAGAGACGTGACAGGATCAAGAATTTGCAGAAATATGCTCTTACAGTATGCAGTGTTGTTGACCCATAGATCAACAAATATGACAGTATATATGCTGGACACATTTCTTAAGAGTTTCATAAGATTAAAGATATTCTTCTCCATGTTTTTTTTTTTCTTTTTCTTTCAGTGGTGTACCACGATGAATCAGGGTGCAGTGGATGACAGAGAACGTGCGACAAAGACCCCAAGTCGGACGCCAACCTAAGACATGGTAGTTATGTAGTAGGTCCCTCTTCTAAATTAGCCACTATAGCAAGCCTGACGCATATGACTGGGCTGAGATACACTCAGATACACTGAGATGCCCGTCTGAGCACACTATTGTAAGTGTGCATGGCATTAAGTGTTTGAATAAGAGAGATGTACATGTTGCTCAGTCAGCTATTGCACAGACAGAGACCATCAATCACAAATGCACAGTGAGCTGCATTGCTTTTTTTTGCTGGTCCCTCAAGTCCTCTCTCTCTGGGTTGGAATTACACAGCACTTTACCTGCAACACTGCATTTTTCTGGACATTGTCTGAACCCTGCACCATAACTCATGCAACACATTTGTGCAGTGCCATGTCTTATTAAACCAGTGGCTCTAAAAACTGTGGGGCACAAAGCTACTTCAGGTGGGATGCAGACAACCAGGTGAAAATATGAAGTGAAACTAAGTTGAATAATTCATGGGGAAACAAACAAGAGTTTTTTGATGCTGTTGTGTGACCTTTATTTAGGGAAAATTCATCTTGAATTCTTTTTGTATTGTATTGATAAAAAATTGGTGTAGAGCTCAGTTTTCTTTTTCTTTTTTTCCTTCTGAAATGGTACTCGCCAGAAAACATTTGAAGTCCACTGTATTATACTAAACAATTATATGGTGTAACTTTTAAAGCAGCCCAAGTTGGTAGCCAGGTTCTTGTTTATAATTTGATTTTATTTGATTTGATATACCTTTATTAGTCCCACAAGGGGAAATTTCATAAGGCTGCCGACCTATTGCACGCAATGGCGGCGCCATCTTACCCTCCGACCATACATACATTACACAAAACATCACATGGAGAAGACAGGTCAGAGAGGTATAACAATGGAAAATGCACCACACGAGGAAAGATAAGGAGAGAAAAATAACTCCCCTCAGACTGAGCTCCAACAGGGAGATCAGTTTGAGAACAGAAAAAAACACCTCTGCACATAGCACATGAAAAAAAACAACTCTTAATACACCAAAGAAACACATGACAAGCAACATGTGAATATGTATTGAATATGAAAGTGAAGACAACAGTTTATAGTGGCGTCCAAAGGGTCTTTCAGTAGCTCTGAAAAGAAAGTAAAAGATGGAGGAGACCTCTTGTGTCTGCTTTGTAACATCACCTCCTTGTAGGTACTGTAAGCTTTCTGAGTACAGCTTCTGGGGCGTTAACTATTGCTGTAGGCCTTTATTGGCCTCCATGCAGTGCTGCTTTTTTGTCTGCTTGAACATGGCATCAGCCTAAAAAGTGGCTCAAATATGAGCTACCAATTATTTTGCTCTTAGGTTTGACCAGTATTATCAATATTACTATTCTTCTTCACAGTGAAACTAAAGGTGCCATCAAAAGAAGTGTCACTTGATGGTTTGCGCAACAGCCAGCTGTATTTGATAACTGAGTGTAAAGACCTTGGGTTTCGGATAAGATGAGGGAATGTAGACTGATGGTGCTATGCATTTTGCAGTATTTGTGAGGGTTTTGGAGGGTGCATGTGATCAGCAGCAGGTGGACTAGTTATTATTGTGATAAGAGCAGGAAATTGATCATGTGGTCAAGGTCTTATCTTGGATTCATAGTTTGAGCAGCTGAAAGGTTCACGTCATATTTATCTCCTGAACTAGAACAGTAGCTGACTTACTCTCACAGAAAAAAATAACCACACACACATACGTAAATGAAGTAAAAAATTACCTGCCTCCTTAAATGTGCTCATTGTATTGTGTTAGTAGAGAAGACATTTTATTAAGGAATTGAAAGTGCCCAGTGTATAGTTAGAAGTTTGAGTCTTTGTTTTTCTAAATGAATGAAGAAGAAACTTATTTGAAGTAAAACAGTAACACGTTGTCAAGAAATGCTCTTTACAAAGGTCATGTATTACTGCTTGCTATGTTGTGATGTGGCCAATAAAACAGCCAATTACCGCCTGTGAAACGTGAACTTAATTGAAATGTTTTTTCACCGATTTTATCGTCAGCATGGAAAACAGGCATTTAAAGAAATAGCAACATTCTTCTAGCCTCATTTGAAAATGGTGAAACTATAGGTTTGGGAAATTACCTGACCAGAAGCCCATAATTTTGAAGTTTATTAAATAAACTGATGATTTGGAACGACTGTTCTTCTTTTCGCTTTAGTTTTATTGTGCAGACTTGAAAGTATATATCCCCACTGAGGGAGAAGATGATATTCTTCATTAGAGAATCCTCCTTTTTTCTGGCTCGTTCTAAAACATGACTCAACATTTTTATTTACACACAGTCAGGGAGTGCAGTGCTCAAGTTGACAGGAAAGTTTTATCATAAACATGTCTGGGATTGATATTAGACAATGAAAATGTATTTAATTATTCAAAATCAGTCACAAATAAGAGCTAATTACATTTCATTAATAGGAAACCCGCAGAGCAGGTGGTTGAAAACAGAAGGGTGATGCATTGATCAAGGTAAGAGATGGTTTGACTTAATATTCAGATTTTTGGTGAAACCGTATTATGGGTAAGGAGAGAAGTTGATAAGGTGGTGTGATGTCATTCAGTGCCGATACAATCTGTGAAATCGAGGTGATGAACAGAGACCTTGAAATGACCAGAAGTCTATAACAGTAAGCTCTTTGGGGAAAAGGCCAGTCCTCCAATGGGCCTAAATCGAATCCCTGCGCATTTACATGAGACATAAATTCACATTTAAATGGCAGAAAATTGCTTGGGTGGGCGATACACTGGGGCATATGAAATTATAATTGTCGTCAGTTGTGTGTGTGTGTGTGTGTGTCTGTGGAGCAGGGGGTGATACAAGATTGAAGAGATGTGTGGAGGAATTATGCATCCAATAACGGAGATGGGATGTAAATATGGTGAGGACAGTCTGATGTGCCATCGGTCCATTTCATGTGAGACTGCAGTGCAGGGGCTAAATGGCAGCCAGGCTCATATTCAAGTGAACGACAGGCAAATTAAAACTGGTCTCCACAGTACTGTACAGGAGCTTTTTTTTTATTTATTTATTTTTTTATCTGAAATTAAGTAACTAGTCTAGTAAACGTGCCTCACAGTAGATTGTTTTGTTATCTGTGTTTTATTTTTTAACTCCTTTTATTTATTTATTTCTGTCTGGTCTAAAACAGTTATAAAAATAATGTCATGGAATAGGGAAAAGCAGCAAATCTTCCTAAAGGAGAGAACTGTTGGTGATTTTTACTAAAAAGATTCATCAGAATAATTGCTGAATTTTCAGCTAATGGACTTGCGAAGGGATTGACCGATTGTTGCGGCTCTAAAATTGGTAATCCTGTTTTATAAAAGCACATAATTATTTCACAGCTAGCACTGGAAAAACATATCTCAGGACTGATCAATTGTGCATTTACATTTTTGTGCCATGATTCATGTTCTGCCTGTTTTGTGGTATTTAACATTGCTATGTGGCTTGAGTAAAATGGCTGTGTAAGTAGATAAACCCACCCTCAAATTCAGTGCAGCTCGTGCTATTGCAGTTTGATCCCTTTTACTCTGCCAGACATCGTTGTACGCACGCCTTATCCTACAATCCCTCTTACCCTCCCTCACTCAGTGCTGTTTGTTTTTTTGTTCTTTTTTCTTTCACCTCTACAGAAGAGCTCCTAATGGAAAGGCTGGAACAAATACTCATGTCACTTCAGTTCATGGAGATCCCAATTGTTTTTAGCCAATGTGTAACTATAAGAGGTCTATGGGTTGTCTGTGTCACTCAGCATGGCTTCGTGTACACGAATGCACATCGTTTCACACCGCTCACCGTACTGCACATTTACTGACTCATGCTGTACATGTATAGCACTATTTCTGTCATTTTCCATCTGAATGTCACTACATGTCATTCAGTCCAAACTGGACCATCAACAATCAGTACAATATGGCTCACCAGGAGGCCCCTTACAGACCTGTTTCATAATTTGTGCTGCTGTGTCTATTGTATGTGCCTCCTTTGATAAATTTACCTCCAACTGATGCAATGCGTCAGTCTTTTTGTTGGAGGAGGACAATTGCTTGTACAGTTAAGGTCCAAGACCTTAATGAAGTACTAAAGCGCACACACACTAGCTGCAGGGCACAAAGGTTGGTTTCTGCTCTTAACATCAGATGACAGCTAATGGAGCAGACAACACTGTGAAAGGACGAGGACCAAAGTTCATCTCGTGATATTATTTTATTGTTCAGTGCTGTATGTGAAAGTCAGCAAAGCATAAAATTATTTTTGAAAAACTGTTAAACAGTCAGAGATTAACTGAAGCAAAGAGTCATTTGCAGTTGACACAATTGAACTGCATTTTATTTCCTTACTTTTTAAAATGTCCATAAAAAAAAAAGAAGAAGTTTTTAATACAATATTTATTTGTGAAGACTTTTGTGCAGCAGTCGTAAAACAGGACAGACTGCATTCAGGGGTCACTGGTATCTGTTCAGAGCTACTATTTCATTGGGTTTTCCTTCTAATTCCACATCTCTGACTTCTCTGCTCTTTATTTTTAGGTGTAAACCCACAGCAGAGGTAGCAGGCACCCAAAAGCCAGGCTGCAGATGAAGGCAGGGAGGGAAATGCAACAGCAACATTATTTAACTTACAAAAGAGTGTAGACCTCTTGAAAGATTTTTTTTTAATTCTTCAAAGACAGTTGTTTTGCTTGTAATCCAGTGCATATTCCTTATGTGTTTTCTTTTGAAAACCAAATTAAGTGGATTACAAGCACTGCTGTATGCAAAGCTTTTAACCTGACGAGCCTTATAACTTTTTTCTAAACTTTTGCTGGCAATGGGGCAAATTCTTTAATTTGTGGACTTTGATGTCAGATGATTAAAATGATCTTGCGTCCTTTCTTAATAGCAGCAATGCATGATTTTATGCTAAACTGTTGGGGGACAGGTTGGGGGGCCTCATGATGTTGGGACAGATGGCATTTAGCTCTAGCTGCGCCGAGCTCAGTGGGACCCGAAGCTTAAGAGGTTAGGCCTGTCAAAACCACTCTGTTCATTCACTGCCTAACAAAGTGTGGACTGTCAGCCTGTTCCGTTTAATAAACTTAAGATTTTTCTTTTGTCAATGCCCGAGCAACACTTTGCAACTCGATGACCTGAATATCCCAACACAGAAAAAAATGGTACCTCTGGCAAAAAACTTACAAAAATGTGTCCAGTCTGGTCAGTAAATGTGCATTAGCTTGATAGCTATTTGATAATTAAACATAAGGTTTGGTAGAAAGTCTTGTCAGCCTTGTGGCTGCATGAATGAGATGTGGTCATGTTACATGTAAAATGGCGAGAACCAAGTGTCAAGTAACTGTCAAAAAGTATCGTATGCATCTTTTCATGCAACACTTCTTCAGAGCTCACCATCACTATTATTGTTTGTGTGTGCAGTGTTGGTATAGAGGGAAAACACTGAAAGAGAGACATGTGAGGCATTAACCCCTCAGCCATGAGAATGTCCCCATACTGTGCATTTTTGTTTCATCATGTAGACCAAGTCCACATAAAACTATCATACTTCACCACAAGAGGGAGACATACTGTAAGATGCAGAGGAAGTCTCCACTACACTGTACATCTCCCCCGGAAAACTGCACCGCACTCAGAACAGATTTTGTCAGGATAACCTGAACCCGAATGTGATTGTGCAGATTTGTTGAGTAAATGTGGTTAATTTTGTCATCGTCTTCTCCCCTCTCCCCATCTCTTAATTTGTTTCAGTGTTTGTTGGGGTCAGAGGCTGAAAGCTGCAGAGTGGTGACCAGAGCGAGAGGCCTGTGTGACATCTGACCTCTAACTGGGTGTGTGGCTGACCCCGGAGAATACGGCTCAACAATGGGAGGCACGTGCCCTGGACTAGTCACTATGGTAACACAAGACCTTTGAGGAAACGGTAGGGGGGTCAAACCTCATCCTTTATCCTGATCAGTGTTAACCATCTGCTGCCAATTGACTCTTATAGATATAACACATACCTGCCACAGAAGAGTGTGCATGTGTGTTCAAGAGAGAAAAATCTGAGGCTGACTGAGTAATCTCTGCAGGCAACTGTGATGGTGCTTTATTTTCTCACAATCACCTGGAGAGATTCTGCAGTTTGTCTAATATCCCTTTAAAAAGCAGCCCTAAAACAGTCATTGTTCCATCTTTCTCCTTATATGAATAACAATGCAAACTAAGAAAAATTCTATATTGTTTGAACATTTCACAAATCACCACATTGTTTACACAAAGGTTGGCCCCAAAAATGTCCACCTACCTGAACCTGTGATCAAAGCAGGTTTTGCTTTCTAGCTTTGGGTGATGATCACTGCACAACACAACAGATGTGGGCATGCGATAGTTTAGCTTAATCTTTGTATGCCTGACTGTTACAAGTCAAAACACTTAGTGACTGGTTAAAAGAAGAAAAAAAGGGGGCAAACACTGAATTGCAGTGCTGAATAAGGGCCAACAGGTGCAGTCCACCTGGAGGAAAGCAAGTTTCACACTTTTCCTCTTTGATGCTGCGAAAGCTGAATGCTCAGTACAGAAAACCACCACCCTTAGCCTCAACACTAATGCACACAATAACACCCTTTGGATTTAGGGTAATGTAATATTTGGCACATGCATTCTTTTCTTCATTACTCCTACCTTCCCTCCTGTCCCCTCTCTGTACCCCTCCTCCACCTCTGATTTTCTTGTCTCATCCCCTTCTCCTTGTGTTCTGCTGTGTTTTGGTGAAATCTCAGCTGGCAACTGTGAGTCGTTCACTAGCTGCTCTCACAATGGCCTCTGGGATTATGCTAAACACAGCGCCTCGGCTGCTCTGCACATCGACCGGCGTCAACGACGCCCTTTGGAGCACACAGGAAAGAGATGGAGGACTCTCAATGAAGATGTCACTGCAATTACACAAGCGCATTTCACAGACACCCTCTCTGTCTGCTCTTCCTTCTCTCACATCCCCCTTCCCCACTTTTTAAAAATTTCTTTTCGACAGTCTTTTGAAGTGCAGCCTCATCTCTTGCAGCTCTTTCATAATGCATGCCCATTTGGAATTTGCATGAATTCACTTTCCAGATGCTTCTGCTGCCATCTTGACTTACGATGATGTGTGCTGTACAGTATTGGCTATTGTATTATCATAGGATGAAAAGAATAATAATTGGCTTGTTGTTATGAGTTTGGGTTATTTTGCATTGCTCCTCTCACCACTAGGACGTATTGGCGTGCGATCAAAATGTGTTGTAAATTATTCAGCTTCAGCTACCCCTACACTGATGTCGGAGTGAAGGAAGAGCTTTCTGATGTGGATGATACTGCATCAGGAACTGATTGGCTAATGCTCAATTGCCAACAGTACCTGATGCATTGCCTTCAGCATTGAAAGAAACGTCACAAAGTGCTGGCTTCTCTATTTTCCCCTGGAATAATATTCTTCTGGTTTATGAACTCAAAATATGGTTTTAAATTTGATTTTTTTTTTCTTACTTTTTTTTGCACTTCTTAAATGTGGAAAATAAACAGATTCTTAGTAGTTTTCACACAGTTCCCAAGAATGAATGTGTGTATGTTTGTGTGTGGGTTCATGTATATTAGTCACCACTGAGGGCTGGGGATTAGGTAATAATGATCACAGAGATGTTGTGAAACTCAGAGCAGTACTTATGTTAAGCTGAGGGCCAATCTATCACTCTGGCATTTAAATGTATGTTTATGTTGATATAATGTTCCCCTCTTGTTCGCTGGAGTCCAAACGGGATACCTGCATCAATGTAGGTCATACTTGTTTTTAGCATGTTCTCTTTTAATGCATTTGTGCACTGTACTACTTAGAATAATACTTTTGTTGTGTGTGTGTGTGTGTGTGTGGGGGGGGCAGGCGGGCTTATTGACTTCAGTAACATTCACAGGGAGACTTGGTCACACCTAGAGATCTAACCAGCTCAGCCTCGCCTCTGTGATTTACAAGCATGACTGTCTAATTTTGTTCCAGTGGGGAACAGGACCAAAGGGAATGTTCTCTCATCCTCTCTTTCATCAGTCTTGGATAAAATCTTCTATTAATCTCTATAAACGGTTTCAAAATGCTTCTTACTAATGAAATGTCTTATCTCACTGTTTTTGTGCATGTGTTGAATAGCCTACCAAGTACAATAAATTCTAGTGAAGAGTAAAACATTTTGTACAGTTGTTTCTTTTTTGTGATTGTCCTTGTTTGTAAAGGTGTGTGCATGCATATCCTAATGTTTACCCAAATGCATTATTATCTGTGAACAAATCAGTAGTTTTGTTAAAAGACCTACTGGAAATAATACAGCTCTTATATGAACATCTTAATGTGATTACACGACTCCTATAATTAGTTTCTTGAGGTTGAGGAGAATCTACTTTTTTTTTTTCAAAAGAAAGGAAGGATGAGGATGTTGTGCCATGCAGAATATATCTTCTATTCTTTTATGAACACCCTCTAAGGAAAGGGTCTGGGGGTCAGCATTAAAGGGGCTGGTGCCAAGTCCATTTTAGCCCTGCTTATATCAGCAAGCTCCTGGCACACATGCATGCATACATGCACACAAACACAATCGCTTGCTGTCTCTTCCCCCATGGGAAATCCCAGCAGCCATGCCAATCCAGCAGATGTTCCTAAAGCGCAGGCATCTTGTAAACACCATGAAATGTATTAGAGGCTAATGTAGTGCTTGCTGACAGACTTCTTCAACACAAGATTTGATTTACCACCTGCTGCTCACACATTCTGTACATAACACTGGCACTGAGGTCTCACAGGATGAGAGGGGTTTGCATGTGACAGCCAACAAAGTAACTGAGGCTCAATTGTAGAGTAAAATATAGAAATAATTCAGGCCTCTACAAATGTAATGACTTATAGCTCCACATTGGCTCAGAAAAACAAACAAACTAAGAAATGAAGGTGATACCGCTATGTCCTTATGTGTATGTTATTACATGAACACAAACTTTTGCATATAACCTAAAATGTGAAAGGCATTTCTTAATGAATTTACAATCAAAAGAGTTTTAATAGATTACTGGCTGATGATAATAATACCGTATTATCTGTTTTTCTGAGAATATCCACTTCCCTCACTGTACATCAGTCTATAGAGGGAGCCACTGAAACTTGCTGATGGTTTACTGCACCCCGGTGAGAGAAAAGCCCGGAGTCAACCTGCCCGGTACACCGCCCCCCAGTGTGTCATACTGTACTAACCGCATGTTCATCATTTAAGCGCTGCTTGCACTCCGCCAAGCATCTGACATCCACTGCACCGTTTGCACGATAAAGGCCACCCTGCTTCGCGCACAGTCGGACTTGCAACAACAAAGACGCCGGGGACGTTTAGTTCGGCTTGCCGGGAGAGTTTGGATATCCGCAGGTAACTGCAGGTATGTAGCTAAGACATCACGGGATGACGAAGCACTTGCACACATCGTTCTTACCAACAATGAAATCAATTCATCGAATGTGAAAAATGTTAAGCTGTTGAAACAAGTGAGTAAAACTCCGGTGGCACTTGTTTCTCTTGCAGTTCGCTTGTTTCAGGGAGTTGTCCAGTAACAAGTGTCAGGATCTTGAACTGTGATGAACAAAGCAAAATCAAGAATAGACACGCACGTTACCGTGTGATTAGGCAGCTTGTGTGAGGAAAGACGTGTATTTGGCAGGTACAAAATATTAATCAACCCGAGGTCTGCGTGCCTTCATTTTCATAACCCCGATTGGCACAGAGGGGGCATGTTTACGCACGATCTTTACGCGTGTTACGCACTAATCCTTTAGGAAAGAAACGACAGAAAAAACACTCGGTTGAAGTCGGAGATTTACCTGGAGCGGTGCCAACATAAACAACACGTCAGCAGGGGGAAATGTTGGGACTCGTTGAGTAATGCCATCAGTAATGTTATAATTGATACTAAAAATCGTAGGCATGTCAGGCAAAAATGGTCCTGCACACTCAATCCACTTGACGTCTCCGCATCCCGTTACAGTACTTCTCCGACGTTTGGTCGACATGCTGGGGATCTGTGTGTGTCTTTGTGCGGTTTTTGCACATGTTCTCTCTCAGGAGGCTGAAGAGCCGGTCTCTATTACAGTGAGTAAGCGTACCTTTCTTCTAACTGTCAGTCTGTGTTTAATACAGCCTGACATATGCATGCTGCTCAGTTTTTTTCATTTACTGATGTACAGCTCGAGAGTTCCTGAAAGGATACTAAACAATGCGTTGTTGTATGTCCTTCACAGTGCACAGAGGGTTATGAGTATGACAGAGTCAGAGAGCAATGTAAAGGTGAGAAATTACACATTTATGTAGCTTTTTATACTCCTGTTTTTTTAAAAAACGTTTTTACATGTAAGCTTAATGCAAGCTGTACTTTATCCAAATACAATAATAGCATAAATAGCATATCTGCAATCTTTCTTTCTTTCTTTCTTTCTTTCTTTCTTTCTTTCTTTCTTTCTTTCTTTCTTTCTTTCTTTCTTTCTTTCTTTCTTTCAGACATTGATGAATGTGCCTTGTATGACGACGCATGCAAAGGAGGGATGCAATGTATCAACCACTTTGGTGGATACCTCTGCCTTCCAAAGAGCGCCGTCATCTATATTAGTAAGGACGGTGAGCAGGTGCCGTTGCCGGACAATCCTGTCCCTGCTGTCCCACCAGACCAGCCTCAGCCCCCGAGGGGTCCTTCTCAAAGCATTCGGTGCCCACCAGGACATGCTGCAGATGAGCAGAACTTCTGCAAAGGTAATATCAGCAGCCCAGACACTTTTCCCCCTCTCTCCCTGTACAGATATATGATTATGGGAGGTACCATGAAAAATTGGCTTCCTTTTTTGTTTTAAAGTGCTTTACAGCAACACATGGTGTAAACACACGGTTATCTCAGGAAGTGGTGCTGACATACTCCTCAAGAGAGAAATTGGCTTCTGTCAGCAGCACTAGAGGTGTAACCATGAAATAAAGTCCAGAGGTTTAAAAAGGATGGTTGCCACATTATTTTCAAGAGTTTTTAAATCTTCCAGAATATTATAGGTCTTTGTCCTTTGTGAGACAGATTACATCCTAAAAATATAGATACACTTTCAGCCACCCCCCTTTTTCGAGCTGCTGTGTTCTGCAGTGTAGTGGCAGAATTGTTTTTCAAAGTGTTTTTATCTCCTTAAAAAGAGCAGTATGCTCTTTTTACACTTGGCAGGGCTACGCAGGTATTTGATAATTACTTGCTAACGACTTTAGAGCCCCAGTAAGCTGAGAGCTCAAAAGGTGAACTGTTCATCCATCTGTCTGACAGTCATCAACAGCTTAACTATGCATAGCTGCCAGATGTGTTGCAAGCTTCTCATTTTTTTGTTGTTTTTTTTCCACTCTGATGTCATGTTTTCAAAACCCTTTGGTTGCTCGCAGCGTGATGTTTTTGGCCAGAGTTCAGCTTCTTCCTTAAATTCTTCTTGTTTTGGGTGTTGAAGTCCTGCGCTTCGGGGGGGAAATCAAGCCGCTTTTGTAAAATTCTGGTGAGCTATGTGCTCACATGTACCCCTTACAGCTACAGTAGATATCCCCTGCGCCTTTACTAGGTTGTGGTTTTGGTAGCTGCGCAAAGACTGCGTGGGTGTGATCTTGTGTTTGAGAAAAACTCTTTGATCTTCTCAAATAGGGAGTGGTGGGAGATTCTTTGTGTCACTAACACACACACACACACACACACACACACACACACACACACACACACACTAGTGCCCTTAATTGTTACTTTGTGCCACACAGAAGAGAGAGAATATTTGAAATCATTTGTAACCCTATACAGTACATCTAGTTACCATCTGTCTTAATGTGTGAGAGTTAAGTGGAAAAGACGCCCCTTTATAAATCTAATGCAAAAACAAAGTGCAGTAAAGTACAGTACATGTATTCAGTGATTAAAAACTCCTCTCACCATGTGGTGTGTGGCTGTGTGGTGAGGTTTGCGGTCGTAGCGCTCCAGTGAAAGTAACAAATTTGATTTTACACCTGGGACAAAGATATGTGTGAGGTGCTTTATGTGTTTCTCTGAATTGGAACCCAATTAGGGTTTATTAGAGTGTAAAACATGGCAGCATATCAGTTAAAGTAACCACATAAGCGAGCTGGCATGGGTATAATACCTATTCACTGGTGAGCTGTTTCAGTGCATGGGCTAAACAATGATAGGCTGTTGCTGTCAGTGTTATTGCTTTGAAATGACTGCAGTTTTAACTGGAAGGCGTCTCATGCTGTTATGTGGGCGTATATTTTCACTGCTCGAATGATATAATCCATGTTTACATCAGTCTCCAGTTTCTCTGTCATTACAGTTAACAGAGCTACAATGAGCCAATTGTTCTTGGACACAGAATTATCTTTTCGTTTTTGCACCGCAGCAGCCTTTCTGAACAGCTACGTACATATCTTGCTACCAAAGGAATTCCCATTAGCTTTCAATGGGGGAAAACCTCAGTGTATCAAATAGCGCTTACATCAGGCTCCTTCCCTGCAAACTCACCACTCTGTGGAGGAAACCTGGAGTGCAGAGTCAGGTAGGGCAAAGGGGACGATGAAAGGCGGACACTGACTAAATAACCACAGAAGTGCCGGAGCACTGACCAAGCCAGGTTGCACCAGCGTCATGGGTTGTGCAGCTGCTTGCTGTTTCAGTGACTTACTGCTGAGTGTGTGGCGAATAGCAGAGAGGTCAGCTACCAGCGCTGCAAAAAATGAAGCCAATTTTCCACAGCGCAAATGAAACTGAAAAAAAAGGAAAAGCTTCTCTTAAGTGCGTTATTCTTTATGCTGATTAAAAGCAAAACAGACCACAGAATATATAACACTCTTCAACCTCGTGTTTTTGTTTGATTTGCAGCTTGAGCAGTCATCCCTGTGCGGAAAACTGTTTGCAAAAGGGGGCTATAAAGCCCTTTGGTCCCGAGTGAGAACAGAGGCTTAAGCTTGTGTTGTTGTTGTTGTTGTTGTTGTAGTGACACAGTGTAAGGGAACTTGGCACCTTTCTCCAGCCAAGCAGAGAAGCTGTGAACCTTGACTATATGTATGACAGCTTAATGATTCCTCACGTTTCCACGACCTCCACCCACCCTCCAAAAACATACAACATACATTCACTTGTGTACTCCGCCAGGTGATGCCTCCAAGTGAGATCACTTCCTCGGACAAATGACAGCTGAATCGGTCATAAATCAGGAGAATAGTGTGAAGCTCTTGTTTCTAGATTCGTTAAAGCGTACTGTATGACAATACACCCTCACAGTTTAGAAATCCCAGCTTAACTGCATCTTCAGTATAATCTTTGACAGATAATTATACCTTATGTCTTTGCGGGTTGTGTTATTCTCCTCGCAGGTCTTAAGTTTACATACTTTGGCTGGTGCCGATTTATTTTTCATCTCTAAATTAGATACTCATGAGCTGCAGTATGAAGCAACATGCCACTCCTGTTTACCTGTCTGGTTTCTTGAGGTCATGTAGGCCACATTACCACCTGCATGCCTGACTAATTTCAGCTTTGCCTGTACGCTCTTCACCTGCAGTGGCCGGAAATTTTTCCTAAATATGTTCTATTAAGGCCGTTAAGCCCCGCATGACGGAGAACTTGTGTATTTTTCCGAACAAGGCCAAGCGCATGCAATAACATTTTTCCACACAGATGCAATGCACTTGGGAGGAATATCTCTGGAATGTTAGCCGTGGTTGTTTTTTCCGTTTGCTCCCATCTTTTGTGATGGTAGGAATTACTCACCACCTTGACAGATAAGCATCGGATCGATCTGCGAGGAGCAGGAATGCAGGGAGCGGAGCGAAGAAAGAGAGCCCAGCGGTTGCAAAGCACAGCGTGACGCTGCCAACAGGCTTCACTATTTGACCTTTACAGTTAATTCCTACAGTTCCACTTATTGTTGGCTCATCCTCACATGTGCAGTTGATGATACAAGCCCCAACCATGAGCCTTTGCCATGCCATGGACGATGTAAAAAGATGTGAAGTTAAACAGATTGCTGTAATGCTTTTCTTCTTTTTTTCCTTCTCAGGAAATTCCTTTAGATGTTATCTTGTTAGTGTTTGTTTCCTCTCCAAAAATAAGCGACAGAAATTTGGAAAACGTTTTGTTTTTGTTTTGTTTTTGTATTTTTTTCACAGAGAATGAAGCCTTCAACTCTAAAATTAAACGGATACAGTATCTGCCAGATGTTAGATTAAAACATTATGCAGCAATTTTGTTGCTTAGCAGGAGGACGCTGGATCAAACACAAAAGATTTGTTTAATGAAAACATACCCGCTTTTGTTTACTCAGGCAGTAAGACACCTGAAGCACACCTTTGTCCCTGTTGAACCTATCTATTACCAGCAAAGCTCATACCTTCCACCTGTTCCCAAACTCGTGATTTGCGCTCGTCTGCACGATGCTGCTATTCTAGCGCCCTGTGATTTTACTGCCCGGCTCTTTTGCACCTGTTACACTGCAGCTGCACCTTCGGGCTCTTGAACTGCACATGCTTTCTGGGTCAAAAATAGTTTGTTGTTGCGATAGATTAGATGGGTGAATTACCATGAAATTTGGTACAGACATTTTGCTCCAACTTCCTGTCAGGATGAGCTGTAATAACTTTGGCATTTCTGTTACAGTTGCAAGTGTTTCCTGGATGTACAGCCTTACAGAATTACAGAGTCAGGCTCTAAATGGATTATTTAGTGTTGAGCCATTGAATACTTTATTCACTTCATATTAGCTTTATGATTATTTGTATATTACTCTGCAAAGGTCTTGAGCCAACCCTCATTTCTTAGTATTTTCCTAGAAAAAAAGGAAATAGGTGCTTTCTGTTCTGTTCTCTGCCAAGATGATCCGACACGGCTTTAATAATGTTCTGGGGAGGCCAATCCATGACTGGTTGTGTTCCACTGTGTGATTTTCTATCTATGTATATTTATACTGCATTGCCAGTGTATCTGGAATCATTGTCATTCTGAAAAATAAAGCTGCTGCCAATCAGATGTTTCTCTGATGATATTAAATGGTGGACCCAAAACTAATAGTACAAGATTCTCAACACCATTGGATAAAATCCAACCCCAAACCACGACAGAGCCTCCACCATGTTTAACAGACAGCTGTAGACATTCACTGTTGTATCACTCTCTCACATACCGATGATGATTTTAACCAAGAAATTCAGATTTGGTTTCATCATAAGACCTGTTGTTTTAAGGACATGACTGTCATATATATTCTTTATCTGCTTGCATAGTGCTGTATAGAGGGAAAATATGACTTCTTCTGGAAGTTGAGTGACAACTGAAGTCAATTTGTTCCCTAGAGATGAGATCAGTCCTCCAGCTCATTTTACTGCTCTACATTGGGCAATATCCTGGATATAAGCTCAGCGAATCAGCACCTGGCTATTAAGTAAGAAGTAATGTCAGAATTGAAATGGCAAAGGCAGTTTTGAAACCATGAAATACTGTGTCCACCAGAGAGATCTTCCATGGCCACAATATGTGTAAGCCAGGTAATTTATGTGATCTGCACAAAACTTTCACAAGTTATGTTTCAGAATCAGCAGAAGTGATTCAGAGATGCTCGATTTCTGACAGTTAAAGCTCACTTTCCATTAGAAAACGGTGCCAGGAGGCCTGCTGATGTTGCAACTTCTCAGCCTCGGATAAATGACACAAAGCTCCTTTAACACTGTTTCTATTTCTCGATCATAAAAACGAT